TCTTATTAAGGTTGATCTCAAAATTAGTTGTAAAGCCCGGAGAAACAGATTAGAGAAGGTAACCCCTTTCATAATACACCCTGACCAAACTGGTTTCATTAAGGGTAGACAGTCATCCACAAACTCACGTAGATTACTTAATTTGATAGATGTCTCTTACAGTAAAAACATGTCAACTAGTATATTGTCTCTAGATGCAGAAAAGGCATTTGATAGAGTTAACTGGAAGTTCTTATTTGCAATTTTACATAAGTTTGGTTTTGGAAACTTCTTCATAAACTGGCTACAAACATTATACAGTTCACCAACAGCACGTGTCAGGACAAACCACCAAATATCAGCTAGCTTCTGTCTTCAGAGGGGGGCCAGGCAGGGATGCTCACTCTCCTCCTAACTGTTTGCTATCATTATCGAACCACTAGCAGCAGCAATTAGGCAAACAACAGGTATTAAAGACAAAAAATGTAAGAAAATAGAACATAAGATCAGTCTTTGTGCAGATGATGTTTTGCTCTTTCTCCAGAATTCTCAATCCTCTCTCTCCCAAGAGTTTCAGATTACTCTATAAACTGGTTAAAATTCACAGTTTTACCAATTAATTTCTCTTTTGTCAATTTGCTTAATACACAATTGGAGTCAGGGAATATCACATACCTGGGGACTAATGTCTCTCCGAAGTTGGCAGATGTAACCAAACTAAACTACATCCCACTTTTAAAGAAAATGGAAGATGATTTTGCAAGATGGAAATCCTTACCGATATCACTCATGGGGAGGGTTGCTACAGTTTAGATGAAGGTCTTACCCAGAATAAATTACTTATTTTCAATGATCCCAAACAAACCACCAGCTGACTGGTTTAGATCTCTGGACTCCTCAATCACTAAATTCCTTTGGCTGGATAAACCTCTATGAATTAGCTTAAAAACGCTTCAGAAGACCAAAGACAAAGGAGGACAGGATCTACCCAACTTTTATTATTATTTTTTAGCCAACAGGCTGCAATATATACCAAGATGGTTGCAAGATAACCCACTAGATGATTCCTGGTCAGATATAGAACAGACACTTTGCAATACGATAGAGCTTTCAGCCATACCATTTATTAGCTCAAGCGTAAGAAAACATGAAGGCTTCAAAAGTATTAGTATCAGCACCACTCTGACAGCATGGTGGGAGTATCTAAAAATGACAGCGTCTTCACTAATACCATGCAGATGCACACCTATCTGGAAAAATCCTGATATTTTGCAACATGACTAAATGATGAACCTTCCGGACTGGAAAAGTAAAGGAATCCTATACCTGGAACACTTGTATGAAGGATTGGACTTCATCCCATTTAATCGAATAGTCTCCCAATTTGGAATAGATAAGAATAGCTTTTTCAAGGTTCAAGGTTGTCTTTATTAATCCCCAAGGGGGAAATTGAATTGCCTTGGACAAGTAAACACAACATGCACATCCACACAATAAAACATTCACTGGTCCTGATAAAATATAAAAATATCAAATAAACAATCATACGAAATGCTCATTGTAAAAACGCACTGCAGCTGGAATAAAAGAGTTCCTAAAACATTCAGTGGAGCACCGGGGCATTAACATTCGCCCACTGAAAGAGCTCCCGAGATCCTTAAAAATGTGGTGAAGGGGGTGATCCTCCAGAGACATAACTGTCTTAAGTTTACTCTTCATCCTTTTGTCGATGATCATGTCAAATGAGTCCAAGCGTTGCCCAACCACTGAGCCAGATTTCTTGATCATTTTGTTGATCCTGTTTTTGTCCTCAGCAGTGAGGCTCCTGCCCCAACACAACACAGCATAAAACAACACACTAGCCACAGTTCCCTGATAAAACACATCCAAGAGCCTCCTACTTATATCAAAGGATCTTAGCTTCCTAAGAAAAAACAATCTGGACTGGGCCTTTTTAACAACAGCATCACTGTTCGTTTTCCAGTTTAACTTATCGTCGAGGTACACCCCTAGATATTTATATGTCTCCACAGTTTCTACAGGTTGGCCTTTGATGACCACTGGAGAGAATGTTTGTTTTTTCTTTCTAAAATCAATAACCAGCTCTTGTGTTTTGCCAACATTGAGCTGTAGAAAATTTGCATCACACCATCCAACAAAGGAGTTAACTTCCTCCCTGTAAGCCAGGTCGTCACCCCGGGAGATCAGGCCCAGTAGGGCAGTGTCATCAGAGAACTTCTGTAAGTGACAAGATGGTAAACTGTGCCTATAGTCAGCTGTGTACAGTGTAAATAAAAAAGGAGATAAAACTGTCCCCTGTGGTGCACCAACCCTCTCTCTTGGGAGAGAGAGGATTGAGAATTCTGGAGAAAGAGCAAAACATCATCTGCATAAAGACTGGGGGCGCGACCAACCCGGATCTGTCAGATCTATCAGTTCGGTCACGCCCACCTCCGCTGGGTCAGGGAGGCAATAGAAATAAGGAAACTTGAACATTGGAACATGAACAGAGACAAGGGGGGCTATCAGCCATCTCACACCTGGGATTCCCTTCTCCAAAGACCAGCCAGCGGAGGTGGGCGTGACCGACCCGGTAGATCTGACAGGTCCGGGTTGGTCGCGCCCACCAGAAAAATAGCTGATAAAGACTCATCACACAAACACCTGTGACATTTCTGATGAAGACCGCAGACGACGGTCGAAACATGTCAAGGTAACTCGAAACACTTCCACTACCTTAAGTTTGGGGACGTTGTGACTTTTATCATCTCCTTATATCCATGGTGTCTCTGAGGAGAAGAAACAAGCAAACAAGAAGAAAACATCTAACTCAAAAAGTAGATTAACATTCCCGCCCAGCGTTGTTAAAGTAGAATTTAACATAAATTTAAGTCACCCTGGTTCATGAAACAATAAAGTTAACAAGAACTTCCTTTTTGTGTATTAACAAGAACTTCTACAGGCTGACACAGCAGCACAATATTAACATTTTCTTTAACTCTTCTGAGCTCTCATCTCCTGTGCCACTTCCCCACCCCCACCCGCAGCAGTGCCCAACCAGAACCAAAGACTGAAACCAAAATGACCTGACGTACTTTAAGCCCCAACCCGGCTCGCCAGAGACAACGTAGCCTACTTTTTAGCGTCTTTAATGATAATGCTTCCACGTCTGAGGTGCCTCCTCATTTCCCCACATCTCTCTCAGCTGTCCTAGCATAACTCATTGTGCTCAGATAGTTAATAGACCCAAGTCCGATCCGACCCGTGCTCCGTTCGGGCTCAGGTAATACAAGCAGGGAAGAGCTGTCTGGAGGTCTACGCAGGAGATAAATCTGATGAATTTGTGCGGGTCTTTCATCACCAGTTCCATCGGATTTCTTTTATCTACTGTCGGTGGTGGTGTTAAGGACATCTTAAAAATCCTCTCCAATATTTCCCCCCAAACTGTAAATGTCGGCCTTGCTGTATTTAATCAGATCTGTGGTGTTCTAACTGGGAAATGTCTTTAAATGGAAATAAAGCAACAACGACAATGCTAATGCTAACTAGGGTGACCAGATGTCCCGCTTGGTGCGGGAGAGTCCCACATTTTCATCACTTTTCACGTGTCCCACAAACTGACTCGTGTACCGCATTATTGACAGTTTCCCATTTCGAGTTTCAATCTCATAGAAGTAACTGTGGAAAAATCTGCCTGTTGCTGATCTGGAGTGTGCGTGGAGCGCGCCCGAACCACCAAAACAAGCGTGAGTGAGCACGGAGGAGAAAATGCTGTAAACTCGTGAATTAAACATGTTCAGAGATACTCGGTCTTTGTTGTTGCTGAGTCATTCTTCATGTCTCGGTGCGGAGTCTGATATGAAGAGGTCAAAAGCAGGTTTTCCAGTTATTAGACAGGTCCGTGATAAACACAATGGAGACTCTAACTCAGACACGGTGCTGCGGTTTCAGATACCTGCTTACACGCTGAGCCCCTTAAAGCACAGTGAAGACATAATGAGAATAAATGGAAGCTTTGATCACTTATTCTCAGAATAAAGTAACTCTAAGAAACTATTATTAGATTAGATCTGAATTTTTTAGAGATTATGATCTGATGTTTGTCATTAAGTCTTATTAAATTCCCTTAGATAACATTCATTGGTCTATGATTGTAATTAATCTGTAAAGTGAGAAAATCTTTGTATAAAACAGAACATGATTATATGAAAAAGTTTTCTACAGGAGACTTTCAGCTGTAGCGTACCAAAAAGCCGAGCATTTCATCCAAATGACCAGAAGTTACAGTTTAACTAAAGGCCAGCTCCTTCACACGGGTCACTCTGACTCCGTGGTGCTGACATGTAGAGATGAACTTGAGCCAACATTCTAACAAGTCCTGCATCAAGGCTGCAAGATGCAGGACTTCTTATCTTCTCTCTGAATAACGTCTATCTTCCCTGACAAAAACCACTTTAAAACTTAATATAATCACATTTTGTTGAATGAACAATATGTTTAAATCCAGTGTTTTAATAATCTGTGCAATACTTTACATTTTGGGTTAAAGTTAATAATTTTCCTGTAATGATTCATTTCAGATCTTAAATTACACCAGATCAGTGTTTGTTGATTTAAAGCTAATCTATCAGTATATTCACACCTCATAATGTTATTATTATTAACTATGCACTATATACTAGTATATATTAATATTAAAACATTAAGTCTGAGCTTTCTCAGGTCAAAGGTCATCCACAGAGGTAAACAAAATTGCAACACAAAATTATTGTTTGATATTCCTTCATGCTTAGACACTGTGTGTGTGTGTGTGTGTGTGTGTGTGTGTGTGTGTGCGTGTGTGTGTGCGCGTGTGTGTGCGCGTGTGTGTGTGTGTGTGTGTGCGCGCGTGTATGTGTGTGTGTGTCTGTTTGTGTGTGTGCGTGTGTGTCTGTGTATGTGTGTGTGTGTGTGTGTGTGTGTGTGTGTGTGTGTGTGTGTGTGTGTGTGTGTGTGTGTCTGTGTCTGTGTGTCATTGACAGAGCTGGCTAAGAAGGAGCAAGAGGAAAAGGAGGATGCTGAGGTGAACATCAGCACACACACCCAGTCCCAGGCCTGTCCTGAACACAGCGTTCCTGATGGACCCGACCAGGATCAGTCACAGAACTCGGACAGCTCCACACCTGGGGACCAGCATGACGGCAAGTCATCTGACCTTGCAGATCATGTGACCTGTAATGGTATGAGCTTAACATCATGACAGAAGTTTGTGGACTGATCTTCTGGACAAGCTTATCTCTTTCTGTGGTAACAATTACAGGAGCAGAGGAGGACAACAAAGAGCCTGCAGATGCCTGATTACGGCGTGCCCCCTCTGTGTGTGATTGTGGCAGATCACCATGGCAACTGGTAGCTAGTTGCAGTACCTTGGAAGATTCAGATACTACTGTGTGCAGCTGACTCAGCGGCCCCACATGGCTCAAGTGACTCATTCAGAATGACGTCTTCTCATCAGAGTCCAGCTTGTTAGCAGTTTCCTGGTTCTTTTCTAGTGGTGAAAGTGTGATTTCATTTCCCCTCAGTGGGATGCTCTGTGTGAAACCAAAGAGCATGCAACGGCTGGAGGAACCGAGCTGTTGTTGTAGAAGCTCAGCTCTTCAGAAATCTGTTGCTGTGCTCTTTCTTCCTCTTCAGATAGTCCATCAGGTGGCTGTCCATCCCACTGTGCCTGTCTTCATCAGTAGGAAACTGGATCAGATCATCAGGGTCACATTAGGGTAGAACTTGGTCCAAAGGAGGAGTTTATTTGTTTGGACTCAGATTATTTATTCAGTTATGGATTAGAACCTGTCCTGTCCTGTTTACACACACACACACACACACACACACACACACACACACACACACACACACACACACACACACACACACACACACACACACACACACACACACACACACACACACACACACACACACACACACACACACACACACACACACACACACACACACACACACACCAAAATGTCCCCCCAGTTATCTCTGATGTGACCCAAATCAACCAATTAACTATAAGTCTGGACTAAACGATTAATCGAAAAGAACGTATCTGTGTGAGAATGAATATGGAGTCTTCCCTGTGGTGGGGTTCTGATCCTTGTTCTGGTCCAGTCAGCTGAAGCATCTCTTATTGGACGATTTAAACTGACTGATGTTCAGAAGCAGAGCATCAGTACCACTTTTTAACAGCATATTACAATATAACACTGTCAGCTACAGTTGTTGTATAAAGCGTTCGCTCCAGATGAACACATTAATGACAGCAACTCAGTGGCGGTCAAGATGAATCCTTTAAATAACTGTTCTACTTGACTGTGAGTAAAGATGCGAGTGCCACAGGATCACTATGGTGACGAGGCCAGCAGATGTGCATTTGTATATGTGTGTGTTTGTAAATGTGTGTGTGTGCGTGTGTGTGTGTTTGTATACATGTGTGTGTCTATATGAGTATGAGTGTGTAAGTGTGTGTGCGTGCGCGTGTGTGTGTTTGTATACATGTGTGTGTCTATATGTGTGTGTGTGTGTGCTGTACAGGTTTATATTGTAATAAATGTTCTGAACTCCACTCATCTGCTGTGCTTATTGAGCTTAAGTATTGTTTCTGTGCAGTTCCATGACTCTTAAGCCTAGTTCATGCTTCTGCATGTGCTTCGGTACGGAGACGCCATATCCGTCCTTGCAAGGGCTCTCCAGAAGGCTTGCAAGGATAGACGGAGTCGAGCCCACTTTTCTAAACATCCGTTTAATGAGACAGAGAAGGCAAGCCTGTGATTGGTCAGGACGCCGCTGTCGTCAACAGCCACCACTGCGGTCTCAGAAACATAAAGAGATCTGAGGATATCTAGCGGCAGACATGGAGCAGCTTGACAAATACCTCATGGAAAAACTCTGAATATATGAAAGTGTTATACACCCGCGACTGGAGGGGTGAACAATGCCCTGCGATGGACTGGCTCTCTGTCCAGGGTGTACCCCGCCTGATTGCCCGTTGACCGCTGGAGATAGGCACCAGCCCCTTCCCCCCGTGACCCGGCGTAGACAAGCGGGTTCAGAAAACGGATGGATGGATGGATGGATGGAGGGGTGAATAACAGAACAGCAAGTGTTTAACTCGTGGATGAAAATGAAGGGAAGCATGGTATACAGGCGGCGAGTGCATGAAGACGTGGAGGAGACTTAGGGACAAATTCGTCCATGTTAAAAATTCAGCAGCCGGCCTCGGAAACGAGGTGAATGGGAGGGAATGGCACCTCTGACACAAACCAAGTGTGCTGGAAAAGACAAGCGCTTATGTATTCAGCGGAGAATTCAAGTTTATTTATATAGCACCAAATCACGACAAGCGTCATCTCAAGGCACTTTACATAATAAACATTCCAATCCAGGTCAGTTCATTAAGCCAATCAGTAAAAAGCTTCCTATATAAGGAACCCAGCAGGTTGCATCAAGTCAGTGACACTAGTCAGTGACTCGATCCAACCTAATGGAAATATGGTAGATTACTGTTGTGCCCCAGGATGCCAGAACAGACGCAAACGACATAAGGGATGAGTCATCTACAGAATTCCCCAAGATCCGGAGCGCCGCAAACGTGTGATCATTGTAGTAAAACGCACTAGTGACCGGGCTAAAATGAAACTGTGGGATCCCGAGAGTAAAGGGTATCGCTTATGCAGCGACCACTTCATATCAGGTACTTAAACCAACGTTTCCTCAACTGTGTATGGTATTTATTTTAAATGTTTTTATTACGATTCTTAGTGGGCTTCCAAAACTTATTTTGGAGTGGCTTTTTCTGTCTTATTACTTATAGCAACAAGTAAACGTCACGTAAAACGTTGCCTCGTGAGTTCTGCGTGCTGCCGTTTACGTATTTTATGATCACAGAAGTTAACCGGCTAAGCCGGGGGTCGGCAACCCGCGGCTCTGGAGCCGCATGCGGCTCTTCCATCCATCTGATGCGGCTTTCTGTGCTTGTAAAATAATGAATGGATATTTAAATAAAATTTTTTATATTTTACTGCATTAATTTTACATCTGTATGCCAATTCTAAATGTAAAGATTGTCTGCGTAAACCTGAACAGTTCCAACCCGGTCTGACTGTGAGACCGGGTTGACGCTTCACGCTTGTGCGTAATCATATGTGCTTCTGAGCTGAAGAGGATGTGAGATTGTGGGATTCTCCTCAGACAGGCTCCTGGATGTGTCGCCACATTGGAGACAGGAACAAGTGCTATTCAGCCAAAGTTTCATAATCAGGAAACATTTTCTAAGTGACAAGTCTCTCTGAAAGACAGGGTTTGGAAAACACTCGCTTCAGTCGGAGGAATCTTCCTGCATGCGCTCTGGTTCTGCGACGCGCTCCAAGCCCCTCTCCACGTCTTCAGCTCGCTGTGCGCCGTACGTACGCGCTGACAGCGAGCTGCACTGAGCAGTGTCCAGCTCAGATGTTCAGATGGGAATCTTTTCTTGAGTGATTTAGCTACATCTGCGATGTGCATAACGAATAAAATGTCAGTTCGTCTGCATGCGTCGGCGTAATTCTTTCTATTCTTTCTCTGTCAAAATAAAAGGTCGAATATGGGAACTATCCGGTCAACACAACACAAGCCCTGCTTTTAACTGTTCTGTTTTCTTGTGAAAATAGATAAAATTAAACTTGATTAACACCAGAGCCAGGCGCACTGCGCCGTTATCTCCGTCACTGTAAATGAGGGAAAAACAAACTGATCAGATCCTTTTCTGACCATCCCCACCTACAAAGTTTAATTACAACAAGTAAACGTGACAGAGCCTGGATTTGTATTCTGAACAGTCTAAACATGTTTTAAAAAAAAAACCTATGACAAAAGTGGCACCTGCTCAGTAAAACCACCAACAGGGTGAAAAATATCAAAATATTGTAGGCAGAGACGGGCTACAACTTCTGGATCCATTTTATATAAATCGTTTTATTGATTATCGTCTTATGAAAGATAACTTTGACGTACATGAGCAACCGGTACTGGCTGCTGTCACCTGTTGTGAGCAGCTCACTGCTGTCTGAGGGTAGGCTCCGCCCACAACGCCGCGGCTGCTGTGGCTCCCAGTGTTTTCTTTACTGTGGGAAACGGGTAATAATGGCTCTTTGATGGGAACAGGTTGCCGACCCCTGGGCTAAGCTGTATTTCATTTTTAAGCAATGGTTGATCAACTGTCAGATCACACATGAAAAGCACTTTGGATTGATGTTTGCTGCATTTGTGTTTCAATTTTTTTTAATGAATTCGATTAAAAATAAAGGCACCCGGCCCGGCCCGTGTCCGAGGTAACTGCACAGTCGTTGGCCCGAAGCCCGGCCCGAGGGTCGTCGGGCCGACCCGACCCGAGGGCCTAGGGCTTCAGTGCAGGGCTCTAGTTCTGACTGCCATATGCATCGCTAAGGAAACTATCCTGTTGAATTGGAAAAATAGAGAAACTCTCTGCATTAACCAGTATAGAAATCTTTTGTTAGATCATATTACACTTGATTTAGCCTCTGCTTCCACTTCAGATAAATCTCTCTGGGCTCCTTTGATCGGTTCCATCACATAGCGAGGGTGGGGGGCCGTTGATGTTGTCCTGCGGGATGGTGTGGGTGGGGGGGTGGGGGGTCTGAGTTTGGAGTATCCGGATGTTCCCTGGAGGTGGGTTCACTGGGGGTGTCTGGGACTGGGGGGCCGTTGCCCCCCTCTGGAGGTGCTTGGGTTGCCTCGGGGGGTGGACTACTGGCGGTTGTGAGTGGGGCCCCTTGGGGATCTTGGCGGCAACCATGGGTCACTGCCTGGCAGCTGCATTGCCCCTGGGCGGGTATGGGTGGGGGCCTGGGGGCTCGGGGTTTGCGGGTGGCCGGCCCCGTGTGGGGATCTGGGCGGGGCCTTGGGGGTCGGGTCCTAACATGTATGCTGCTGGGAAGAAGGCAGGAATGTGCAGCAGTGCCTGGCCTGGGTTAGGGGGCCTCAGGTAGACCTTGGCTCCTCTGCCGTTCCATCACAGGGGAGGGGGAGGTCCAGGAGGGGGAGGACCCAACCTTACCTGGATGTCCCATGTCTTATATATTCTGGAAGTGGTGCAAATGCAGGGATGGGCATAGATATTCTGCTGGGGTGGGGCTGGGGTGGTGCCCTCGGACTCCGTGAGGCTCTGTAATGCTGCTGCTTTGGGCCCTGGCAGGATGGGCTGGGGTCTCCATGCCCTGAGTGGCAGTTTGACAACAGAGGTGCCTATTGGGGCCAGTAGGAGAGCTGGCTCCCTGGAGGGCTAAGCCCAACCAGCCATTCCTCCCCATCCCCGCATATTTCTCTCCTCCTGCTCCCTCACATCATCACACAAACATACACATTGGACTTTGGGGGGTGGGCAAGTCAGGAAGTGCGGGTATGGACCCCATTTCTGCATTCCTGTGGCAACCTGCCCCCAATTTTATTTGCACCTTATATGTGTTTGTTTGTGACCTTTTGGTGGCAATTTGGACCAGTGAGGTCTCAGCTCCTAGGGAACTCTAATCACTGGTGTTTGAGTGAGACAGCACTGAAAAACTGTTGTGGTAACTTCCGCTTCTACCTTTTCAGGTGGGAAGTTCTTACCTGTGCATCCACAAGAGTGTGCTGTTATTTTCTCACTTCAAAGGTCAATTCTCTACTTTATTTATAAAGTTAGTTCCACATTCATTCATTACCCTCTTATCTGCGGCTTATAGTGGTGTACCGCTCAATGCAACTATTTCCTACTCTGCTGTTCTTTGTGTATTTTGTATATTTATGTGCTTTTGTACTTTTATCAGTTACTTGGTACCTTTAAATGCCCAAAAATGTTGTTTCTAGTTCAAAGAGGCATACACTACTCCCAGAGTTTATTATGCCCCCTTATTGTGTAATCCAAGTTATTTAGTCAGCTCTATCTGTTTTACCGACAGAATTGACTGAAGCTCGGCATTCATACAGATTGTGTTTAACTAAATCATATTCCTCATATACTCGTCTCTTTTAAGGAAAATGTAATTTTGTCAGGTCCCAGACCTTAAGTGGAATTTAGGGGTCCCCAGTCCCCAGGGCCTCCAACCCTGCTTAAATATAACCCGTAATTTTGTCAGGTCCCAGACCTTGAGTGGAATTTAGGGGTCCCCAGTCCCAGGGCCTCCAACCCTGCTTAAATATAACCCGGTTATATTTTATCCATCCGTCGATGAATATTTGGCAAGCAAAACCTGAGACAATCTTCTCGTTTATATTAGGTCCCAGACCTTTTTCTATATACCTATGATTTTTTCCAACATAAACTCTAGCAAAATTTAGGACCTTAGCTACTAGGAATTCAAGACACAAATGCTTTTGAATAAGTCCAATGAGCAGAGTTAAAAGGTCTGCTTACATTTTTGAGCCGCGGCTGGTTGTGTCTCAATCCTTTTCACCAGGTCAGAGTCGAATGGTCTCCAATTGCCCCTTTTCTCGGAGGAAAAATCCTGTTCGTGACGCCAAATTGTTGGTCCTGAAATGACCAAGACAGGTTCGGAGCGATTGGAGAAAAAGATGTCTGCATCTGAGTTG